CATGCAGATAATGAAAGTAATACAGACTAGGCTTTAGTGTAAGTCTTATCTCATGTGATTGCTATAGGACGAAAATGTGATGGAGAGTATATCAGTTTGACTGACAAATATATATATATATGATGCATAACGAAATTAAAGCTTATTCTGCTTTTGATAGCGTGAAATATTCCTATATCCTATGAATTAAAAGTCAATCTAAACAAAGAACATTCTTTTCTATAATTTCTCCTCTTCAGATTCTTACAATTATAAAATATAATGTAAGTTTCAGGATTTCATCATGAGCTGACATTTGTTAGAGAACCATTGGAAAACCTGGGAGTACTGGACAGCTGTTTCGTCCCAGTTTGGGACTCTTCAGCAGTACGCACCCACCGGGATTCGAACCCAGGATCTTCCGGTCAGCTCATGATGAAATCCTGAAACCAACCAAATCCCTACAAACCAACACTTAAATATAATGTAAGTGTTGTCGTTACAATAATGATAGCCAGTTATGCGGCGAAAGATAGGATGGTTCCACTAAAATAACCACATTCAGAAAGCTAGAGACTAAAGCTCAGTATATGCATTTCCTTAGCTTCGTACCGATGAAATACAAACGTAATCTGATCAGGTGGTTAGCATTTAGAGCGAGGTCTATTTGTTACGAAGACTGCGTAGAGAAAGAACTCCAGGTTATCTGAGACATTTTAAGCGAGAATGGATATCCAGAGAAGTCCATTAAAGCCAACATAGTCGTAAACATGAACAGGCAACGGTGGAGAAAGGGCCTTTGTTTTTATGTCTCCAATTCAAGGGAGATACGCCTGTGGAGATTCCATTCTGCACGCCCGTGTCTATCCTTCAGTAGCCATCCAATTTTCACCCAGCAACTCAAGGATGTCTTACCTAATTAGCTCTTCTTCATGCATATACCATTTCAACTGTTCCTATGATTCAAGTTATATAGGGAGGATGATGAGGCAGGTTCGTCTACAAGTTCGAGAACATTTACCAGCTTGGTTCAGCAAGAGGGAAATAAAGTGTTTAAAAAGCTCGATCTTGTCACACTTAGTCGTTACTGGGCATCGCATCGACGACAACACAGCTTTCAAGGTTATATACCGAATTCCGAAGTCGTTATCACGTACAGCTCGCTTACGTCTCCTACACATTGCTGAAGCTGTTGAAATAAGAGCGACTAGAACGGAACTTGATATCCAAAAAGAACACGTCCAGACGTTGTTCCTATCGTGGCCAACCTTGGATTGATGATTCTTCTTCTCATCAAGAGTGCCGCTTCCTCTGAACCCTCTCGGTTTTTTCCTCTGCTTATCATTACAAATATTATTGTTACAATTATTATTATTACTTGTCATAATTTATGCTCTCCGTGCAAACATTCCCTCAATACTATCGAAATTTCAATTTATAATATCTGGACTTATTATTAGTGATAATATATGCCCCTTTCCTCATTAGATGCATCCACCTGTTTCATTTCACACATTTGTTATTTCATTATGACCCTCTCATTGGAGTCTTACTATCTCCTGTTTAATACGGACCACTTTGGACTAGCCATTCATATGACACCTTTTATAACCTTGAACTGACTTGTGGATTTTCCTACCCCACTCTTTACAAATCTATTATGACTAATCACCACCAATGTCTCTCATTTTACAATATTTTGTAATCAATTTCAGCCAACTGGCACATTTGTCACACAAATACGACTATTTATTCTGACACCTCACAACTAATCTATTATTCTACGTTAAAAATGTATCCGCCGCATAACTGGCCATCATTATTGTAACGACCACAAATATTATATTTTATAATTGTATGAACCTGAAGACGAGAAATTATTGAAAAGAATATTCTTCGTTCAGATTGACTCTTACTCTACTTTGATTTTCAGATCTGTAATGACTAACTAACTCCTCAGTATTCATCTGGTAAGTGAACGTTTAGTCCGGATAGAACGTCCCTCACTTTTACCTTTTTTCTCTTTCATTTGATCATTTTTTTAATGAAAGTATATTCTTTTTTTCAGGTGGTATTACATGATGACATCTGTTATAGATGTGTTGGAAACAAGGGGGCTAACGGATAGTCAATTCACCCTACTTTTGGATTATTCAGTAGTCTGCACCCATGAGGTACCAAGACCAAAACTTTTGGGTTATTAGGCGAGTCCGCTGAACACTCACCCATCGAGATATGGCCAGAGGAGTCGATCCAGTGGATTAAGAGGACAAACACTCACAAATGACATCGTCTGGTAGTGCTGCTATGGACTGTAAACGGGCAGTACTATGATTCCATGAACAAGCCGATTACCTCCAAGTGATTAAATGGCCACATAGTTTATCTTATCTTTTACTGAGTGATTTGACTTTTAAATTAATTAAATCCCTGTAAGTTAACCTCGAATGTTAATCTTTCGATAACTTTAAAACATACCCACTCAAGTGAACGGATGTAATAATGACCACCAAGCAACAAGAAAAGCCTATAATAGAAACACAGAAAGATGGTTGCAGTAAACGAATGGCGCTGCAAATTATTTCAAGAGATAAACTTTTGGGTACTGTTAGGATAACAGGCTTTTAGGAAGCCTACAGATGTAAAGGCGTAATGTCTTCACAGAGTTATCCAGTCGCTGGTAATGGATGTGTACAGATGTCATCACAGAAATTTTAGGTGGCCCGCTTGCAGCTTGGGCTTGGTTTTAAAATTAAAACCTCTATCAACGTATTCCATATAATTTCTCTCAGTCAGATTGCTCAAATCCCTAGTAGTATAGCTCACTCGGGTTACTGTTCAAAATGTTCATAACCTGCTGATTTCCAGGTTTTTACTAGACAGAAGAAAAATCATTCTCCTCCATGGCAGCTTATCTTAATATATGAGATGATTATTCTTGAGTGTCTTTCCTCGTTCACTAAATGTACTCCTGAACGTTTTACAAATGACATTCAACAAAATGTCATATATATTTTTCAAAGGAGAAAATGAAGCATTATCAAAGTGGATTGGTTTGCGTTTCAGGTGATATAGAACTGTGTTACATGATCTGCTGTCAATTGATCTTTTATTTGATCAACCTCTCTCCATCTACCTAGATTACTTTTTAGAATCGTAACCCTCTCACACCCTATTGTGTGATTGTGTGTTAATGCATGCATTGCAATTGGTGAGCTTTTTTCTAAATTACTTATCCTCGCGAGTGGGGTCAACCATTCTTACCTTAGCTAAATTCTTATGTTCTGACAGACAATCTGACTACTCCTGAGAGTAATTGTAACGCACGCATTAACACACAATCACACAATAGGGTGTGAGAGACATTTGTAAAAAATTATATTTGCAAATTCTCAGCGTGATTGAAATGAGTAATTCCAACGTTTCCTGTGTTCGGCAATCTGGATCGAACTTCTTCAGGGAAATTAATCGAAATTAAGATAACAGAGGTTTATATATATAAAACGAACATCTCTTGTTTTTAAATACTTTGTCCAATCATGAGTCATAAAACAAGTAATAACAAGTATGATAAAAAATATTGTATGAGTCGTGATCGAAATCTGACCTCAGACTTACAAATATTGATCTACCTTTGTTAAACACTTTAAACAGTTGTAAAACAATGTCTTAACGTCTCTATAAGTAGGTATAGACAGTCAGGAACTTTGACTAAGTATTATTAGTTAGTGATACATATCCATTCTTATTTATTAATCAGGTTTTCCTATGCGTCAGCTAGCATCACACTTTCATGTCTGTTCAAACTGTTAGTATCTAGAATTTTATGATTAGACGTATTTTCAAAATTATGGTGTTTAGGATTAGAGTTTAGTTGAAGCACCCTGTCAAACTTATTACTTTGTCTTCTTTCTGAAAATTGAGCTGATTTATTCGATCTACTGAAGTTGTCAGTTGACTGGACAGCTACGGATTTAGGATACGCATTCTGTTGCAGACACGATGGCTTTGTCAATTACATAATTTCTTTGTTAATTTAACCATTCTTACCTTAACTAAATTCTTATGTCCCGTAAATCGGACTGCCCCTGACAGCTATTGCAATTCATGCATTAAAACACAACCACACAATAGGGTGGGAGAGGGTTAAAATTCTAAAAAGTAATCTAGGTAGGTGGAGAGAGAGGTTGATTACTGAATCCTTGTTCATCGAGTCTACACCAAACACATGCAATAGGAATGATTCATCACTCATACCCGATATATGGAAAATACTACTACCAATCAAATCAAGTGAAAAATCAAATGAAAAATAATGGAATTATATAAATGAATTTAGGAAGTCGTGTGATTACCTTGATATGATTATGAGCAATAAAAAATTGTGCTCGAAACGTTGTCATCAGTAAACATTACTGTATAACACTGTGAGACTTTATCAAAACAAATTTTACCCATAATGGAGTTCATGGATGTTGTACAGCAGTGAACGTGGTTACAAAACAGCATCATATAGAGTTAAAAGGATGCTTTTATATATATAGAAATAGGTTTAGAATATCACCGAGGGCTCCAATAAGCAGTTTGGTAGTTTACTTGAGACACGTACGAGAAAGTTATCCCTCATAACTATTTTTAACACTAATGTCCAGAAAAGAGTTTTTAAATTACGCATGTTTACTATAAGCTTGTCTTATTTTTCAATCAAGTTAGCCACGGCTGTCTGCTTAGATCGTTCACCTCGGTCGCTACACTTCAGTAGCAAGTCATCTCACAAGGCACTCCTTAATAATATTTGTAGTATTGAAATTCGTATTTCTAAGTTTATATGTATTATGCAATTGTATATTCTTGATCAGCAGTCAGTTTCGTCTCAGTTTCAATAAACGTCGAAAATGTAAATGACCGTCCATGAACCGTTAAACAATGAGACCACACACACACACATGTATCTTTTTGTATATACTCTGAACTGAGTGGGTGTATATTACTATTAATTAAAGTAATAACATTTAACCTACTCTTCAGGTTTTGTGTTAACATTTTGCATGAGTTGTAGACAGCTATCCAAATCTGATGATAACTTCAGTATTGTCGACGAAGCTAACCAATTCTTTTCTTGTCTTATAAAACCATCAAGTGCAACACCACGTTTCAACAGTTTATCTGTTAAACTTGTGCCTAGTGTAATTGTATACCTCCAGTCCTGTTGTCCAGCTTGTGGAAGATTTTCTCTAAAAGCAATAAAAAAAAGAAATAAGAAATATAGGTGAATTAAGAAATTCGACATACGATTCACTTAGATGTAACGAATGGAGTTAAGTACAGAGTCATCTTATGCGTGTGTGACACCTCATAATTTTATACATTTTGTCCTCTGCGATTTATTTTTCTCTTTCAAGTCCGACCACCGATTGATATCAGTAGGAGAACAATTACGTCGGTGGCACAGAGGTTAGGACGCCCGCTGACTATGCTAGTGTTTCGGGATTCGATCCCCGGCCGAATTGCACTTGATATCAATGGTTCGCCCTCTAAATTCGGAATACTAAAATCACGTGCTTAAAATTCCACAGTTCTTTCAAAATACTCTGTGGAATCAAGTTGTAATCATAAAAAAGTTGAAAACCATGGAGTGATAGGCAACAGTATCTCCCTAGCTTGAGACTAGTCGGTCGTGCCCAACTAACAGGTTTCAAACCCCTGAATCTTCTAGTTACAAGTCAAGCTCGTTGACTGTTCAGACACCGGGATCCAACTTAATGGCCCATGGGTTTTAACGTCTATCCATGCAGGAGTGAGGACAGATACTCAAGGACGACAATTCTGGCAACTGGGATTCATGGGCCGGCCATCGGATGGGGTCGCAGTGGCTGAATTTTCAACGACCTTGACTTGTAACCAGAAGGTCCTGGTTTTGAATCCCAGTGGATATGTACTTCATAAGAGTCCAGAACTAGGACAAAAATGCTGTTCACTACACTTTGGTTTTAAAAATTTATCTTTCTGAGATTAATCCTTGAACATCCCATAATTGCACTTTACGGAGATTTTGAGCGAAATAATATATATATTGTGTTTGTGCAATAGGTTTCAGACAATCTGATCACACAAGTACTTGTCATGTGAAGATAATAAACCTTCAAGTGTTGAGAAAATAGACACATGCCAAGTAAAACGGATAGATTGAAGATCAACAGTGGAGATCAATAAGCTGGACGAATCAGTACAACGACCTACTTTGAGAAATCCCACCTGCACAGAACATTACCTCCTGTTTCGTAAGAAAAAGCCTTAGTGAGTCGCCTCTTAAGTAGGATTCGACGAATATGCACATAGAAACACATTTGAAGACAGAAACTCCGATTTATAATAATTCCCAGGGAGGTTTATAAAGAGATATAAAGTGGTCGGAACACCAGGAACCATTCAACAACTCGCCGCTAAAAGGATGTATATACCGAGCAACCCTAAATGGGCAATTATAGAGGCTAGGTAATTAGATAGATATTGACAGCTGCTGTCAAAAGACATTTTTGCAGCTAAGTTCCATGTTCAGAATTTGAAGTCATCTAAGTGTGAGTGTAAACACACATACACAAAGACTCATCGTCGTTTGCAAATAGAGGCTTCAGAGTATATCCCCCTTAATAGCTTCAGAAGCAAACTCGATCCCCTGAACTGGTTAACAGCGAAAACACACGAACTGTCATGAAACATATTATAAAGACAAGAGATAAAACTCATGTTTACATTTCTTTTAAATATATCTATCAACTGTGTTTGGGTGCATCCTAGAGTTTATAGAAGCCATACAGATTGGAAACTTTATACCACCTTTGTATCTTCTAAAGCATTTCTTAATGACACTAAAGCTTCTTTGATAAACTTTGTTTTGGTGCCAGAGTAGATCTGTTATTATCAACACTACTTAGTTCATTGATCTTTGTCGTCAATTTAGCCCTCAATATAACCTTTTAACTTGGTTTATTTCTATTCTCTGACCCGTTAACACCTTCTTATTTTCATGTGACCATTACTTATGTGATCAGACGGGTTGAGCAAATACATTACAACATTCAGACAAATTATGTCTTCTTATTGTTTTGTCTAAATTCACCAACTGTTTCAAAGAATAATACGTATTTCTGGGACAATTAATGAAATCTTTAACTGTCTGTACATACCACATATGGAGGGAGGGGGGTGTACAATAAACTGCCGAATTTCTAGAGACCTTTGATGAAATGGGTCAAAACTGTTCTCATTAGATTAGATGCCTTCACTTTTTATAACCTCCCGAGTTCTCACCTTCTTCATTTTCTACCTTAACATACACATTACGACATGTGGAAACTTGAACTGCTCTACTTTATTGTAAGGTTCTACTTTCCAACTTCGATTGAGTCTACGGTAAACCGACTGGAACTGTCCACTCTATTTCTGATAACAAAACGTCCAAGAAACAGTAACTTCAAATGTCAAAATCCTTAGTGTCTTTTCATTTAAACAATAGAAACATAAAAGAGCTAACCATTTTACTTAAGTTATGAAGAAAGTCAAAGACAAATTTAGCGAAAAAAATTTTCTTTATCGATGAAATCGTCTTCACATGATGTATAGTCGATTTATATTTACCGAAAATGTATAGTAGTCAATTATTGAGTAATAGGGGTTTACATAATTGATATAATTACTTAAAAATGGCTTCAAAAGTAAAAATAAAAGTTGTAAATTACGTATTACTCAACAATAGCATAAACGAAAAAAAGCGTTAGAAACGTGATCAGGTTAAAATTGTAACTGAGTGAGAGAAAAAGGTACCTGGATGTCGAATTAACAAGTTTGAAGAGGATGAGAAAATGTACAAAAGAAAAATGTCAGAGTTTTAATAGTGAAGTGATTATTAAAGTAAAAGCAAATTATTCTTCGAACTTCGCCTAAATTACTAGCTCGCTAGTTTTCTTGCCGGTCCCAAGCCCAGATAAAGAGAGCGGGTTTGTGCGTGGTGCTAACAACTCCACCCCCACAAAACTCAACCAAATCGCTACAGAAACTTCAACGTGCAAATACATTAAAAATTCTAGAAATATAAACCATAGACTTATTTTTCGCTGGAATCGGAGAAGTGAAATGCAACAGGCTGGTGAAAGCCTTCGAGAAGCCAGTCAGTCGATATGCCTTCTTTCGATGAAAGCAAAAGTTAGAATGGTTACCTGGAATGTTCGTACAATGCACGAAACTGGAAAGGCTGCCCAGATAGCCGCTGAAATGTCAAATCGAGAATCGAGAAGGCAGGCGAGAAACACATTCATCAACCTGAAACAACCAATCTGGAAATCTTCGTCACTCAGCCAGCATCAACAACAAAATCCACTCGGATTTTCAATACAAACATCGTCAAGTCAGTCAGTTCTTCTATACGGATCAGAAACTTGTCGGGCGGGTCACAAAGAATATTTTCAACAGCCTGTTGCAGACCTTTATCAACAACTGTTTTCGTTGGCTCTATACCAAAGATCAGATGGCCGGGCTGGAAAGAATCACCAACAAGGAATCGCTATGGGAACAAACAAACAAAACAAGAACCAATCGCCAACCAACAAATATGCAGGAGAAAGTGGAAGTGGATGGATTGGACACTCGCTGAGGAGATCGCTGGGTGAAATCGCGCGTCAGGCCATTGCTCGAGTGGAACCGAAAGGGAAGCGGCGAGTGGGTCGTCGGTGCAAAGGTGACATGGAGGAGATCGTGTGAAGAGAGAGGAGTTGAAAGAGTATGGACTAACATGGATGCAGGTGAAAAGTACATCAGAAGAAAGACAGAAGTGGCAAATGGATACGTGCAGTTGAAGCCCTATGTTCCACTAGGAGCCCAAGGGAGCAATAATAAATAATAATAAATTAACCTTCGAAAATTAAAATTTTAAAAATCTACAGGGAACGACTATTGAAGAGGTTGAAACCACTGTAGAATAAGAGACTGGACAAACTTTTTCTGTATACAGAGTTCGGGGGGTGTATTGACGAATCACCAACGCCTCCGCCATACACAAATTCCGAAGCCGTACGCCTTCTGTACCATTTGGCCCCACCTTGTAGGTACTCTCGGAATTTGACTCTGATGAAGCTCTGGGACATGAGCTCACCGAGTGCTCGCGAATTGAGCTAGTAATTGTCTTGCACTGTCGTTTTTCCAACCATGCTGGATAATGTTCAGAGAAGCGTTTGGAAAGTGTACGCTTTGTGTGGCCAACATAATAAACTTCACAGGTACAGGTAAATTTAAATACACATATTGAAGCGGCCCAAGGAGGCATTCTATCCTTTAAACATATATTCACCATTTTTCGGCTGTAGAAATTGATCCGTAGCTCAGCCGTAAATAAGGCTTTCCTCATTGTTCTGGATAAGCAGTGGTTCTTCAGAATCCCAGTTGTGATATTACCTTTAAATTAAACGTTCATGAATAGCAGTTTCTTCAGTATTTAGTGGTATAATCCAATTTAGAAAAGGTGACAGTTTTTTAATGTTGTAGAAAAGTTCAGTTCAGAAAGTTACTTCTCAATGGTGCACTAAGACATCCTATATATCGAAAGAGAATTAATTCTTTGTGCAAAAACGCATTTATTTTCATTGAACTCTTTGGACAAGCCCCGAAAAATATGGTTTCCCTCTAACAGTCTGACATATATTTTTTTTCTGTCATTGCATAAATGAATTTACTTTATTGCCTACGAATCAGTTAACAAGATTAGCTTCCACTGAATAATTTATATGAATTGAATGTGTCACTAACAGACTGCTATTTATGTTGTTTATAACTGCGAAGTTACAGAATCAGTCCAGGAAAGAAATAAGATTTATGAATAATTTACAATGGCTTCTAGACACATCAAGATCTCTCATAAACATCATCATTATTATTACTTGTCAGTACTAGTAGAAGTCAGATTGAAATCAACTTATAGTTTTTGGTTACACTAAAATATACAATAAAATGAAGTATTGCTAATTAAATAATCATTCTCATATGAATTCATAAAAATGAAGTGTTCATTTACCTAATCAGGTAATTTATTGTATATAAAATATTTTCAGAAAAATATAACGACTGGGATTTACTTAAGTCTGACCTCAAATGGAATTATTTGGTTAACTAAAATCTAAACAGCCTACATTATTATAATTAATATTGCTCCCTTGGGTTCCTAGTGGAACATAGGGCTTCAACT